GGATTTCAAAGTTACCGGAATTAACCAGTCGGATACTCTCATCTCCGATCAAGACCACTACTTCCGACAACGGAACTACTCTTCCTTAGACTCTGACCTTCTCTGTCTCCGTAGGCAGATATTCGAAGCGGTTTATCGGAAAACCGATTTGATTAGAGCGAATTACGAATTGTCTCACACGAGAGATGAGCTTAGGCGAAGAAATCGGGAGCTCGAAGCTAGAATCTCGGAAGCGGCCATGATTAGAGAGGAAATGAAGCGAGACCTGGAAGTTTCTAGAGAAAGAGTTTGTGAATTGGAAGGAGAGACGAAGGATAAATCAAGACTTCTTTCGAAAACTGCAGAATCCTTACGATCATCGATCCGATGTTTAAACAAAGAGAACGATCTAGAAACAGGGGAATATAATTCCAAGTCAATTTTGGAGTTAGTGAAGGAGGTTGAAACGAAGGTAGAGACGTTCATGGAATCGATGGAGAAGAAGAAGATTGAGCTAAGTAGAAATGTGGAGTTCTTGGAAGAGGAGAATAGAGACATCAATGTCTTGTTAAGAGCTGCTTTGTCTGAGAAACAAACCGCAGAGAAACAATTGGTAAAAGAGACAAATGAGCAAAAGAGATCGGCGTTGCTACAAATCGCAGAACGAGGGTTGCAGAGTATTGGGTTTGGTTTTGGGTTTAAGGAAAGCTCAGAAACTAGTAATCTCGCCAAGGAAGAAGAAGAAGAGAATGGTTTGGTATGTTCATTATTCTTGTGAATTTTAGCAGCAAGAACCAATCAAAGGTTTAAGTATTCTAATATCTCTATGGAAAGAACAGGTTGTAGCAATAGAGAAGACAATGAAGAGTCTACGGAAAGAGAATTCTCTGTTGAAGCTTTCATTGGAAGAATCAAAGTTAGCTCTTTTTCTTAAACTCAACATCTTTGATTTTGATGGAGATGCACAAGAAACTTTCAGAAAACGAAAAGCAAATAAAAAAATGTCATTTTCTTGATATGTGACAGGTTAGAAGAAGATCGGTTAAAGAAATTCACAGAGTTACAAGCTCAGAAAATAGCAGAGAATACAGTTTCTATCGACAAGCTGCAAAACCGAGAGAAGTTTCTAACTCAAAACGTAATGTTATCGCACCATTATGTTTTCTTGATTTTTGTAGTGAACCCGTTTATTCAAAAGAGGGTTTTTGTTGTACTGAACCAAAGGTGGAAGAGCTTGTGAAAGTTATAAGAGAAGCCGAATCAGAAGTAAGTAGATGGAGAGAAGCTTGTGAGCTAGAAGTGGAAGCCGGGAAGCGTGAAGTCGAAGAACGTGATCAACTCGTAAGCTTCATTTCCTATTCCAAAACCGATACAAAGAACCATAATTAACAAAAAGAAGTCATTGTTTACAATTCAGATAGCGATTTTAAAGGCAGAGGTTGAGAAGATGAGATCAGCATTGGCGATATCAGAAGGTAAACTAAAACTGAAAGAAGAATTAGCCAAAGCTGCAATGGCAGCAGAAGAAGCAGCTGAGAAATCGATTCGATTGGCCGAGAGAAGAATAGCTGAACTTCTTAGCCGCATTGAACATCTATACCGCCAATTGGAAGAAGCAGAGCCTACAGAAAGCAAACGCCGAAAGTTTAGGTACGTTTGGTGTTGGCCGCTGTGGCGTTTCCCTACCGCTGCTACTGAAAGTTCTTCATATATGAACAATAGAGCATTGTTACGATATGGTGCTTGATTTACTAGTGATTTGCACGAGAGTTATGTAGAGAAAATATTCCCATAGAAAATATCTATTTAGTATAAGAAAGATATAAATGTTTGCAAAAGACCATTACAACATACTAAATCGTTTAACACTATCCAAAGAAAAGAAAAAAATCCATCATTGAGACAAAATATGAACAATTCTTGGGTTCATTCCTAGGGTGAATCCTATTAGCTAATCACAATTTAGTGAAAAAATAGATTATATTAAATCACTAAAATAATTATGAAAACCACTAATTCTCTTTCATAATTATGACATATAGACAATAAATTAAAATAATTAATATAATTACAAAAAATAGATTAAATCAT